AAGAGTAAGGAACTTGACCTTAAACATAATAGGAGTATCTCTAGTCAACCCAAGGATTCTGGTGAGGCTATGTTTGTGAGGGGTAGATCTAAGAGTAGGTCTAAGAATCAGAAACAGGATGCCCAAGCTAAAAATAGTAACCCGAATGGTAAGAAGAGGAATAAGTCTAGAAAGCGTGTGTGCTACAACTGTGGCAATTCTAGCCACTTTATAAAGGACTGTCCCCATCCTAAGAAACCTGAGCAGGCTAGTGTAGCTATAGAGAGAGATGACCTTGGTGAGGTTCTCATGGTGTGTGACCATGTTAATTCTGTTCGTAATACCTTGACTGAGCATGAATGGCTAATTGATTCTGGTTGTACCTATCATATGACTCCTTTTAGGGATTTGTTTTCTAAGTATGAGAATTGTGATATGGGTTATGTTTCCTTGGCTGATAATAAGAGATGCAATGTTTTGGGTGTTGGTGATATATGTCTCAAATTTTCTTGTGGCTCTGTGTTTACTCTTAAGAGTGTGAGGCATGTCCCTGATTTGTGTCATAACTTACTATCTGTTGCTGCCTTGGAGGGTAGTGGACTAGAGGGAAAGTGGGGGAATGGGAGTATGAAAATTTTGAAAAATTCTCTGGTGTTGTTTAAAGCTGAAAAGGTGAACAACCTTTATGTGTGTCATGCTAAACCTTATATTGACTCTGTGAATGCTGTGAATGTTGTGCATACTGATAAAACCTTGTTGTGGCATAATAGACTAGGGCATATGAGTAATAAAGGTTTAGGGATCATGCACAAACATGGTTACCTTGGTAAAGACTCTGTGAACTCTTTGACTTTCTGTGAATCATGTGTGCTTGGTAAACAACATAGAGTCCAGTTCCCTCTATCATCTTATCCTAATATGACTAAGTGCTCCTCTGTGCTTGAATATGTGCATGCTGATGTTTGGGGTCCTGCTAGTGTTCCCACACATGGGGGGAAACGGTATTTCTTGTCCTTAATTGATGATTTCTCTAGGAAAGTGTGGGTTTATCTTCTAGAACATAAGTCTGATGTTTGTGAGAAGTTTAAAGCCTGGAAGTTACTTGTAGAAAATCACACTGGACAGAATGTTAAGACCCTTAGGACTGATAATGGCCTAGAGTTCTGTAACCAAGAGCTTGACCAACTGTGTGCCACTTCAGGCATTAGGAGACATAAGACTGTGCCCTACACCCCCCCAACAGAATGGGGTGGCTGAAAGGATGAATAGAACCCTTCTTGACAAGGTTAGGAGTATGTTGTCTACCTCAGGTTTACCTAAGAAGTTTTGGGGTGAAGCAGTCACCACTGCCACCTATCTGATTAATAGATCTCCCTCTGTTCCCATAGGGGGTCAATGCCCTGAAGTTAAGTTTACTGGTGGGCCTCTTGACCTAACAAACCTTAGGGTCTTTGGGTGTGCTGCCTATGTTCATCAGAAAACTGATAAGTTAGATCCTAGATCCAAAAAGTGTGTGTTCTTGGGTTATCCTGATGGGGTAAGGGGATATAGGTTGTGGGATAGAAGTGTGCCTGGTTTTAAGGTGGTTATAAGTAGGGATGTAATTTTTAATGAATTTGATTTCCCTTGCTTGCTTAAACTTGTTTCTGAGCATGAGCCTGAGAGGACACCTGTTGAGGTGGAGCCTCAGACTCCTTCTGTACCTATTATTCCTGTTGTTATGTATGACACTCCTCCTGTTGTTCCTGTCGTCCCTTCTGATGTGCATGTTAATACTTCTTCTGATACTGCTACCTCTGGTGAGGTGGAGTTCAACACTCAAGATGACCATGTGCAAAATGATTCTCTGTCTGGTGAGACTAATGTGTTTGATGATTCTGTTGAGAATGATAATGTTGATTTGCATGACTACCAACTTGTTAGGGATAGGGGTAGAAGAACCATTAAGAGAAAATCTGATACTTTGTCTGATTATGCTTTTACTGCGTGTGATATATCTGATTTTGCTTTTACTGTGTTTGAGACCCTAGACCTAAATGAACCTAAGGCCTATAGTGAAGCTATAAGGTCCAGAGAGTCTCAGAAATGGCTTGAGGCCATGAAAAGTGAGATGGACTCTCTAAGAGTGAACCAGACTTGGACCCTTGTTCCTAGACCTAATGCCAGCTCAGTGGTTGAGTGCAAATGGCTGTTTAAGGTCAAGGAAGAACCGGGTAATAACATTAGGTATAAGGCCAGGTTAGTTGCCAAGGGGTTTACTCAAAAAGAGGGGGTAGATTATGCCGAAATCTTTGCTCCTGTAGTTAAGTTTACTACTGTTAGAATCATGTTGGCATTGGTTGCTCACCATGACTGGGAGATGAAACAAATGGATGTCACCACTGCATTTCTGCATGGTGAATTGGATAAGAAAATTTACATGACTCAACCTGAGGGCTTTGTGGATCCCAAGAGGAGTGACCATGTCTGTCTGCTTAGGAAGGCATTGTATGGCCTGAAGCAATCCCCTAGGCAGTGGAATATTAGGTTTGACAAGTGTATGCAGTCTATGAAATTTGTGAAATCTGCCTGTGATCATTGTCTTTATTTCAAGAATACTAATTCTGTACCTGTGTTCTTGTTAATCTATGTGGATGACATGTTGATTATTAGCCCTTGTCTTAAATCTATTATGTCTGTTCAAAAATGTCTTTGTGAGAACTTTGCGATGAAAGATCTTGGTGATGCCAAGAGGATACTTGGGATTAACATTATTAGGGACAGGAGCAAGCATACTCTTGTTCTAAATCAGATTTCGTATATTGAGAAGGTTTTGAGTAAGTTTAATATGTCTTCTGCTGCACCTGTGCATGTTCCTCTTGCCTCTCATTTTGTGCTAAGTAAGAATCAGTCTCCTAAGACTGATTCTGAAACTGAGCTTATGAAGTCTGTTCCTTACTCCAATGCTATAGGTTCTGTGATGTATCTGATGGTTAGTTCTAGACCTGATATTGCCTATGCTGTGAGTTGTTTGAGTAGGTTTATGTCTAATCCTGGTATGCCTCATTGGAATGCTTTGAAATGGCTTTTGAGATACTTGAAATTTTCTGCTAATCATGGTTTGATTTTTACTAAGTGTACTGAAGGTGTGAAACTGAGTGGTTATGTTGACTCTAACTATGCTAATGATAAAGACAATAGGAAATCTACCACTTCCTGTGTGTTCACTTTGTGTGGGTCGTGTATTAGTTGGAAATCTCAGTTACAACCAATTGTTGCCTTATCAACCACTGAAGCTGAGTATGTTGCAGCTACAGAAGCTTTCAAGGAAGCCATCTGGTTAAGTCGTCTTGTTGCTGAAATAGGTTTTCTCAAACAGGATGTTACTGTGTTTTCTGATAGCCAGTCTGCTATCCAGCTTTGCAAAAACCCTGTTTTTCATGACAGGACCAAACACATTGATGTGAGGTTCCATTTTATTCGTGATGTTTTAGATGCAGGTAAAGTGAAGCTGTGCAAGATACCCTCAGAGTTCAACCCTGCAGATATGGGGACGAAGTGTCTATCTGCTGAAAAACTTTTGTCTTGTAAACGAATTTTAAATTTGGACTGCGGTTAACTCTGTTTGCAGGTTTTGGGTATGTTGGAGGGTAGATTCTTGAAAGCGTAGTGCTTGAGAGAATCTACTCTCACGGTTAGGGAGAGTACTTTGGGTACTTCTCCAATTTCCTTTAGGGAGTATTTTGTGTATCTCCAATTTGTTTGCCAGTTATGTCTTTAGGATATCACTGGTGACCCAGCGATGATGAACCACGTGCTCATGTTACTTTGTGATACCATGCACCATCAATGATGGCCAATAAGGTGGAGAGTGTGGAGGTATTGGCCCCACGGGCCAAGGCAGCCCTCTCCTTTCTATTGGGTCTGTTTGCTTACCTCTGCCCTGGCCCATGTTGTTCTGCCGCTAGCCCTTCTTCTGGAACCCTCCTTTAGGGCTTCCCCTATTGCCCGGGTACTTAAACTCCTCTACGCCTTTGGTTGACGCAGAGGTCTTCGGTTAGAGAGAGAGAGAGAGGTTAAGAGAGAGTGAGAGAGACTTCTGTCTCTCCTCCATTCCGGTCCCTCTGTGGTTTTCTCTCTGTGCCTCCCCTTTTCTGACCTTTGGCGTGCGTTGAGATGGCTGGGCTGGTCTGAGTGTTCTTGTCCCTTCCGGTGGTGCTTTGGTGTGTGTGCTGTATGAGCGTGGTCTGAGCTGGAGAGGTGAAAACCTGACAAATATTGTGTACGTTTAATAAATAATGTTACCATATTATATTGCTTTTATATTAAAGACAAGCATTTAAGCTTTTGACCGATCAAATCCAAATTGTAGATTTTAGGGACCCCTGGGTACTATTATGGCTAAATTTGCTGAAAGTATTAACATTGGGTACAACTTTTGAGTTTTTCATAAAATATTACTAATAAAAAAATCATGGACAAAAATATGATTTAGTAACTGTTAGATTCAAAACAGAAGTCATTGTGATTACATGTAGTCACTATGATGTGAACTTTAAACACAATTATTGTGACTTAGAATGTTTTTAGTTGGATTGTTTTCAATCCAACACTAGACTAGACCATATTAGACAAACCAGATGAGATTTGGACAATTATAAAATAGGGAGTCCAAACATTTACTAGACCAGACCAATTAAGACCATACCAAATCAGCTAGACCAAACCAGACCAGCAAATTTCAGCCTAATTAAAAACATCCTAAAAGTTACTAAGTCACATTTTTATTTACCACTTTTTCAGGAGTAATATTAATTGAATTATGTAGCACTGCATAATTTTTGTTTTCTTTATTTATAAAATACGGAGTATATATTACATATTTTCTTTTCATATTTATGAACAATTAGAGTAAATGGCATGAATTCGGTGTTAATATGTACGAGTAGTATATAATACTCCGTATCAAATACGGATTAGGTTTAGTTCATAACACGTACTCTAGCTCGCGACTTATTAGTTCAATACGGAGTAGGATTAGGCAACATGACAGAGATGCAATTAAGATGGAAATAATAACCAATACGGAGTAGGATTTTAGTTCATTCTGGCAGATGCCATAATTACTCCTTACTTCCTATTTGTGTAGGAATTATTAAGAAACCCAATACAGATAGGATCATACGATTAGGAAAGTTTAATTTTATATATAGAGATCGAACTCCCTCCCTAGCTCCTGCCTTCATTCTCATAGTCATCTGCCTTTATCTTTACTGCCAAGCCTCAAGCTCTCAAATACTTGAACCACTCTTAATTAGCTTCTTCCATCAGATTGGATTCCTTCTTCGGAAAACACACACATATATGGCTATGAGTCTGAACTGTGGGTTGATCAGTTCTTTGGAGAAGGAACTGGATGAATGGAGGAAGAGATTACAGGACCCTTTCTCTCCGGAACGTACTTTGGCATTTCACAAATGTAAGTAGTGTCTTACTTTCTTCAATTTTCTTGAATTCTATTATGCTGATATGTTTCAAAACCATTTTGAATTTCATACGGTTTTTATTTCATTTATATTTTATCTTGTTTATTTAGTTCCAGGAAACAACAACGTCGATTGGAATCAGTTTGTTGGAGGATCATATAATTGCCGCTCATGTTATAATTATAATGATATTGCAAGGAACAACAACTACGGATATGAGTGCTTTTCAAGACAGAATAGTTCAAAGGACGTGTTTGTCCGCATGGCTAAAACGCATGAGGGGTCACTTGAACTTCAAAATCTGATTAAGAATGGGAATCCAAGAGACAGACAAGAAGTTCTTGATGGAATTATTGGATGCATATTTGATGTGATGATCGATCCACATGGTCACCATCTCTTCCGAAGAATTCTTGAGTTTTGTGATTCTAGTCAGTTGGACACCATCTTTGTCACCTTGATATCACGCAAGGAGTTGCTTATCAACATATCTCTTGTGCAATACGGGTAAAAAGATTTTTTAAATTCATGCGTAGTTGAATAATGATTTTACCATGTGTTACTATTTTGTTACAATCAATGTATTACTAATAATTATGTTCATATCACATTAATGCTATGATAGGTCAAGTGCAGTTCAAAGATTTATCAAAAGACTTAAAAACACTGGGTTAGGGCAATTCGTTGCAATCATCCTTTCCATGAGATTTGTCGAGCTGATGACTAGCGAGCACGGTAGATTTGTTGTTCAAGAGTGCTTTTACACCTTCAAGGCTAAAGAAAACGAGGTTTAATTTTTTGACTAAACTTAAATCTTACGTAGTATTAGTCTCATATACTTGATACGTTTAGGATGAAAGATAACCTCATCCTTCATAATCATACAATTTTCAAGATTTAGAGTATATATTTTCTAGGGGAAAAAATTAAATAATTCAAACATTATAGACATCTCACTACAATTTCTCAACTTATGGACACAGGTCTTGTTTACTTGTGCAATCTCTTACTTGAAAGAGGTGGCAACAACACAATATGGATGTTCCTCCTTGAATGTTTGCGTGAATTGTACTAGTGGTGCCCAAAGACAAATATTGCTCAAAAGTATTGCAGAAAAATCAAATTTCTTAGCCAATGATCCTTATGGGTATGTACTTTTTCACGCTTCGATTATGAATCTCAATATGATATCACAACTTTGTCACTCGATCTTCAACTAATCAATCTTGCTTTTACCTCTCTTCAAATAGGAATTATGTTGTCCAGGAAGTCTTGATGCTTAGGAACGATGAGATCACACAAAAAATATGTGACTGCCTTAAGAGGGATTACCTACGCTTAGCTTTTAAAAGAAGTGGAAGTCGTGTTGTTGAAAAATGCATAAAAGCATCAAAGTACGGATTGGATTCGGTAGTTGAGAGCTTTCTCAGTAGTGAAAAGAGCTTAGTGCTACTTGCCCGTGATCGGTTTGGAAATTATGTTATACAATCAGCTCTTGAGACTGCAAAGGTAAATAAATCTCAACTTAAAAATAATCTAAATTGCATTATATATCTATTGCTACTCATTAATTTTGTTATGCATTTTCCTTTTTCTGCTTGCAGGCAAGTAATATCAAGTATTATGAATCTCTTGTTACTATCCTTAGGGTGCAATGCTTGGCTTTTTCTCATATCAAACTTGGGAAGCATATATTGAAACACGTAGAAGATTTGTAAAGCAATGTGGGAAATGCCTGATCTGATTTTTTTCATCAATTGTACTGATTGAAATGCATGCTCCAAAACTCTGTTTGGAAAGTTGAGTAGTTCGTATTTTTTTTTATTTTTTTATTTTTTTCACTAGTAATATTGTTTATTAGTTCAGTGTTGGGCTTGTTACATTACTAAACCAAAAGTGTAACATGTCCTGGACTAAATCAAAGATGAGTTAGTTTATTTACAGAAGCAAATCCAAATTGAGCTTGAATAAGAATGCAAGTTGAATTCAATCTACTGAAATTTCTTATTTTTTTTTACTCCGGCTTGAGCTCTATTATTGTACACACACAGCAGTTTCAGCATGTCTTTCACAAATTGCTCTGGTTGGTTAGTCTCTTGAATAAGCTGTTTCAATGCCCAGTTTGGTTGCCTTTCAAACAGTTTAAACATAATTTGTTCACGGAGATGAGTGAAATCTATGGCTTCTCGTTCCTACTATTCTTCCTTTTGTGCCCGTATAAAGATCGATGTTTCTGCTTGGATTGAAATTTTCTGATCGGATCTGATCTGAACTAGTCTGGTTTGTTAAATGTCTTGTCTTTGTGTATTTTATAACTATTTAAGTCTAGTCTGATCTAATTTGATCTGGTCTGATACGGTCTGGTTTTATCTGGGGCTGAAAACAGCCCTAGTAATAACATCCCAACTTTTCTTTTGCTTCTGATGACTTTTTTATTCCTTTCAATACAAGTGTCCCTTTGTGGACGAATAAGATATTTATGTTATACTACTATACAATAAGATTATTATTTAAAAAATACAAATCAGAGCAAAGCTAAAAACAATTGACAAAAAAAAACAGCTTGTTTTGAAGAGAGAGTACACAAAAGTCAATAAATAATTCAAAGAGAAAACATTTCTTATTTAATTTGTCCAAATATAGTGACCGAATTGAAACATATGCAACCAAGTTATAAATTGTTACCTTGAGATCTTTAGTGGTCCTCATTGATCACATAATAAAAATTAGGTGTGGGAAAAACCGACTGAAAATCCGATAATCGAACAAACCCAATCCGATAAATGACAATGGCCCGGATTTTATTTTAAAATGACCGATCCGGGTAAAAATACCCGAGTCGAGCCCGAAAACATGGGTCTTTATTCGGGTTCTAAAATTTTAAGCCCGATCCGGATCAAAAAATCCCGATTTAATTAAGAAACTGTAAACTATGTAATTTTATATATAATACATATGGACTATTAATACTTCATACCTTATTTTATACCAGAAAAACTATTAACAGCTACAAGGAGTACAATGATCAAGCTCAAGACCACTTTTTTATATTTCGTCAATCGTTCTTACTCCTAAAAACTATTAAAAGTATAAAACTTCCCCACTGTTTTCGAACCAATCGTTCTTCTGCAACACTTTTTTTCTTGTGATTTTTAGATTGAGAAAGTGCATAAGACTTAGACGAAGTGCATAAATAGGATTATTATTGTTTTTCCCCTAGAATATGACTCTCTTACTCCTAAATGGGGAAGTTTTATACTTTTAATAGGATCAACTAAGTCATATTTTGGGAATAAAACACATGTAGTCCCATTTGTACATTTTGTCTATGTTTTAACCCTATTTGAAACAATTTCTATTTTAGATTCGAGTTATTCTTTTTTTATTTTGATATATGGTATTTGATTAGAAGCTTAGATATTTGCCATGTTTGTTGCAAGTGTATTTTAATTTTTTAGACATCTCAATTCGATTTTTTTCGGGTTCAACCTGACCCAACCGGAACCCAACCTGAACCTGAGGCTCTTAAAACCCGAACCAGCCCGGAATTATTGGTCCTTCAATCGGGCCGAAACATGTCGAACCCGAAGATTCTCGAGGTTTTTACGGTCCTAGACAATACCTGACCCAACCCGACCCGATCACACCCCTAATAAAAATAAGCCCTATAAATATAAGAAACATATTTTCATGGTACAAGAAACATATTCTCATGGTACACAGGAGTTTTAGCTAGGGCGATTGTTAACTTGTTATCCACATTAGGTGTTGTTGCTACGATATATTCTGCTTCACATGAGGATAAAGCTACTACCCTTTGTTTTTGAGACACCCAAAGATAAAATCACCCGATTCAACTTCAACCAACTTTTGTATTACTAAATGAGTTCAATATAATTTAGCATTTAACACTAAGTTTTGAACTAGAGCGAAGAACCACGAGAAGTTATTTTGATTAAGGAAAGAGATCAGCAATTGAAAAAAGTGTGCAAATTAATGGTCCAAATAAAGGGATCGGATGAGAAGATGAATTGTTGTATGGATGTAGAAGTAAGCCAAAGAACCTAATTGGTAACACTGAATTTGGTTGAATGAGTTGAATCTGCTGAAATTGATGAAATTCCAATTAAATCGGCTGAATTAGCTGAATGTGATGAGAAATTTATATTTAAAATATACTTTATTAGTGAAAGTTTCCTAAATAGGATTAAATTGAGGAAAATGTTAATAAATAGAATTATTGTTGTTTTATTACTAAAATATGACTCTGCTCATTCACTTCTATTCTGGGAACATTTAATCACCTTACTTTTTACATGACTTAATAAATTTTATTTGGGGAAGAAAATGTATTTGGCCCTATTTTAGAACTTTGATTTTCTTTTAATCAAATACTGAGCAATTTATAATTTCAATAATAAAATAGGGAAAAAGTTATATAAAATAGTAGCTAAACTAGCTCTTTAAAGTAATTCAGTCAATTCAGTTATAAAATAACTAATTGATTCTATTCTAGATGAGGAATGTTATCAATGACATTGAATCCAAAAATCTCAGCCAAGTGAGATATAGAGAACACTACCCTTCTACCCTCATTTTTAAAAACAAAATCCCTAGGACACTCCTTGTTGCCTCCTTCAACGTCAAGCATATTACCCAGAAGAAAATGCAAAAGAAGCCCGGAACATAACATTTCCTTGGCATCTAGGAATTTCCCAAAAACAATTTTCCTAAACAGTTCTACATGATTAGGAAGTAATTTAGACCTCACTAGATTGATTGCATCATACAACCTACAAAACGTATTGACTTTCCTTTTTATATCCAAATTCACAATTGCTTTGTCCAAATATCTTTTGCCTGCCTGAAAACAATATTAACATAAGCACATAGTCATAATGCATACTGCGAAAAAAGTGCTATATTAATTATGTATATGATGGCATATAAAAAAAGAATATAGGATGAATAAACTTACTACTTCCTCTTTATGCACACCGTTAGAAGCTGAAAGTGGAAGGGGATGTGTGGATACGAAGTCACTGTCATCCATCTCTACATAAATGTCGAAATTAAAAATATACAAATAAGTGTGATGTGTGATAACGAGGAAGTAAGCATTTGCAGAATTATATGTCTCGTAATAATGTACAAATGAGATGTGAAGTATGTACTTGTCACTGTGAAGGATTGAAAGAGTTACTAACTAGCATTGACTAGTACTTAACTAACACATTGAATACTTTTTGTTTATATATATATATATATATGTGTGTGTGTGTGTGTGTGTGTGTGTGTGTGTGTGTGTGTGTGATGTGACTGATAAGTGCCTTATGTAGTCCAGCAAATGCGTTCCAAACATAGTAAAGAGCTCAATACCGAAAGGTTGATTAGAAATACAATAATTTGAATCGAAGTCCAAAACGGGGAAAAAGTGTCCCGAAAAAAAAGCAACAGTCTGCTATGAAACACAAATTTGGTCTTGGCCAAAATTGAACACCACATTTAAGCTAATTAAAATGCAGAAGAACAATATGAAAGTTATTAGTGACTAGTAATACTAAGCTTATAACACTCCCCGATGGTGTTAATTAGGGAAGGAGCAAGAACAAGTTCATTGGCTGATTGGACTAACAAATTCAAATGGTTCCTACTACAAGTAAAACAATGAAAACAAAAAAGTTATATGTGTGTGTGAATATAGGCTATATTTGACAGCGAAGTGACTACTAGTACATATTTGAATAAAAGAGTTACTAACTAGCAGTGACTAGTACTTAACTAACACATTGAATACTTTTTGTTTATATGTGTGTGTGTGTGTGTGATATGTGACTGATAAGTGCCTTATGTAGTCCAGCAAATGCTATCCAAATATAGTAAAGAGCTGAATATCGAAAGGTTGATTAGAAATACAATAATTTGAATCGAAGTCTAAAACGGGGAAAAAGTGTCCCGAAAAGAAAGCAACAGTCAGCTATGAAACACAAATTTGGTCTTGGCCAAAATTGAACAACACATTTAAGCTAATTGAAATGCAGAAGAACAATGTGAAAGTTATTAGTGACTAGTAATACTAAACTTATAACACTCCCTGCTGGTGTTAATTAGGGAAGGAGCAAGAACAAGTTAATTGGCTGATTGGACTAACAAATTGAAATGGTTCCTACTTCAAGTAACACAATGAAAACAAAAAACTTATATCTGTGTGAGAATATAGACTATATTTGAATGCTAAGTGACTACTGTAGATGCATCACTATTCAAATTGTCTTTGTTAATTTGAATAAGCATGTGCTACACGTGAGTGTAACGTTCATTCCACAAAAAACAACCACCATAAGCTTTCGAATTGAAGTCCAAAACAGAATCTTAAAACGTTGACAAATATTAACTACATTCAATCCGAGTCCAAAATGGGTAAAAAGAATCCCAGACCAAAGCAACAACAAGTCATTCAGCAAAAAGTCATGGCAACAGATGAATAACACTTTTAATCTAATTTAAATGCAAAAAAACAACATGCAAGGACAATCACACAGAAGCCAAAAACATATTCAAAAATAAAGTAGAGTTTAATTTTTATGCATTGAAATCCCCATATTTGACTTCTAGATTAGGGTTTGGGAGTGAGAAAGAGATGGAACTCGAAAATAAGAGTAGAAACTGTAAAGGAATAAGAAAATACACATGATATTGGCATAAAATTACCAGAACTTTTACTGCTTTCCTGCGAAGGCCTGTGGAGATTTTTGGTCTGCAACGAAGATGAGAGAGATGTAGCGCCGATGAGAGAAAGAGAGCTGATACCGTCGAAGACAAAAAATAGTAAGGAAAGAGATGAAGGTGGTAGAAAATGAGCAGGGGTCTCCCAGAAGGAAATGTCGTTAATGGAAGAGAGAAAAAAGACGGAAAGAAAGCCAAGACAGGTGCGTTGAAATTGGATGAGGCGTACAAAATTAATGAGCTCAGGTCACTTTTTGCGAAAACTAAA